CTACCTTATGAAGATTTTAAAGACAATGGATGGAGCTGGCAGCTATTAAGAAGTTGTGAGTTTAGAGCTGTGAAATAGTTGGAAATAAGTGTGAAAAAATAGAAAGATTTTGCAGGCAAGGCTCAGAAAGATTTTGCAAGTAATGCAGAATGGATGCTGAGCTTTGCAGCTTTTTTGCTTTTATACCTCATTATACCTCAGATGTTAAGAAGTCAGCTCCAAAGCACAGCTTGTTCCTAGCACAGAGGACAGACTGTCCCTGAGATAGAGCATAATTCATAATGCTGTGACATAGTTGGTTTGAAAGCCCTTTGTGGTTTTTATTTTAATTTTGAACTTGTCATTTCTTTCATCTTCTAGGCCCTGACAGATGTAGATGAGACATACAGGAAACCAGTACTGGGCAAAGCTTTCTATGTTGAACCTCAGCTTACTCTAACCAGGGTAGGTAACTGTCTTGCATTTTAATTTTTGGAATATCGCATTTTTCAAAGTAGTAGAAGGGTAGCATTGACTGAAGAACTATATTTACATTTGAAATGTTTTACTTTTATTACAGATGACTCAAACATGACTTGAACTGGAAAAAAAAAGTTTTCTGGCCTTTCTGAAGGTATTTTGGCCATAGTTCAGTGTCACAGAAGCTCTGACTTTCAGGTTCCTAATATCAGATCACAGTTGCTGTTAATACAATGTGATCTTCTGTGAAGTCACTTTGTGCTTTTTGATGCATTTGTTTTGTACTGTTTCCTGTCCTCCAATAGCCAAAATTCAATACTTTGTGCTGTAGCTAATTTGGCACAAATGGTTCTTTTTTGTGCCCATGAGTGATCCAGTTCAAACTTGTTCTGAGAGGTGACTTGGCAGTGCATAAATCTGATGCTAGAGTTTGTGTAGCCCACAGTGTTCATCTCTGATGCAGTTTGTCTGTTTGGTCATTTGAACTCCTAGTTCAAACTCTTAAGTACTGTGATGGCCAAGCTGCTTCATGCTACTCCAAAGCAAGATACCATCTAGGACCAGCTGCGTAAACAAAAGTTTTCAAAGTCAAAAACAGAACATATGATAGATGAACTTTTGAACAAAAAAAAAAATAAAAAGAGCTGTGAGAGAGCTGTTCCTGTTGAATGGCATAGCTTTTGGCCTTTTAAAATCAGAGCAACATGATGAAAACTTTTACAGTTTCATTGTTAGAAATCTACTTTTAAATTAATGCAATTTAAATCTATCTTCTAATGGATCCCAAACTCTCTTTTTAAAAAGATTAGTTTAATTAGTTGTCATTGTTCCTTTAGCCCGCTCCCACAGGACTGGCTTTCCATCCTGTTGCTAGGAAGAGACAGGTTCACTGAGAATCCTTTTCATTTATCCGTATTTCATAAAAACAAACAAGCAAAACCAAACCCCTTGCCTACTAGCAGAATAAAAGCAGTTTCTTTTCCAGTTTCAGGACTATATATTCCTAGGTTAATGCGTCTATACAGTGCTTTGGATTTGCTGTTCTAACTTCGTTTTGTTTTCCATTGTCTGCTCACCTCCCAGAATACCCTCAAGGCCTCCCTTAGTTTGGTTTGTTTTGGGGAGCACAAACCATCTGTTCCTTTCTCAGTTTGTCCTCCCTGATGATTGAGGCTGCTTAACTTGAGGGTTTGTGTCCTGCCTAAGGAGACCAGAGTGGAAATGTCTCTAGTACTACTGAAAACATTCCAAGAGGGTTGTGGGGGGAGAACTAAGGGAGCAACGTGCTAGACTTGTGTTGTTCCTGTCACAAGCTAAATGCTACTGCACATCTGTATTGCTCCCTAACTGCATTCCATAATGATCTCACGAAAGATACCCGTGCATGTGCATGAGATCTGTTCACCTTGTATCACAATTTGGCTTTATCAAGAAATGCAGTTTTTTATTGCTAGTGAAGGTTCTTCACTAACTGTTTATTGTGACCTCTGATTCCAGTACAAATATTCAAATACCACGTAGAAGTGCAAAACAGGAGGCCTCCCTTGTTTTATGAACACACAAATGTTCCTTTACAGCTATTTGACAGACTCAAACTGCAGGAGTCCTCAGTAAAGAAGGGAGCTGACTCAAAGACTGTCTCCGAGGAGCTCGTCCCAACAAATGACTCTCAGACGCTTGGATGGAAAGCTGGATCAGGACAGGGGAGAGCAGAAGATGAGCGTGAGAGGCAAAAACGCTTGAGCAGAGCTGGAGAGAAGAAGGTGCCAGGTGACGGTCTGCATGCGGCTGCCCGAGGGGAAGCTGATGTGGGTAGCGGGACTGCCCACACAGAGGGTGCCAGTGCTGGTGGTACCCAGGCAAGAAGCCAGTCTCGGAGAAAGAAGAGGCCCAAGGTGGATTATCAGCAGGTGTTTACACGCCACATAAACCAGATTTTTATCCGAGGAGAGAATGTCTTGCTTGTGCATTTAGCACACTGACCGGGCTGAGCCTTGGTCAGTGTATTTATTTGATAGCATGAATTGCCGCTGTGGTTCTCGTTGCTCTTTAGCATTCATGTTGAGTATCATGATGCTCCGACTGGTTTCCCATGACCGTAACAAGGTAGGGGAGATAGTTTTAACTGGGGCATTGTGAGCTTGTTGCAAAGCAGCCTGCTTAGGTCTTTGCTGTGGGGAGAGGGGCAGCGGGTGTCTCAGGACAAGTTGAGAACATACTCGTTTCTGAGACAAGAGGGAGATGAGCACAGATCCCTGTGATCCTTAAAAAGAAGCTAAGAGAGCTGGAAGAGTTTTGCTCTAGTTGGTTATATGAGCTAACTGTGGCACACATCCAAGGAGCATAAATTTAGACCTCCACCTGAAGCGAGTCACTAATGCTGTATATTTCACATGTTCTGAGTAATCTCCAAAGATTACTGGTGAAACCAACAGTTTATCCACTGTTGCTGTATGAATATGTTCTCTTCCAGATGTAATTCCAGTAGTAATTTTGAAGTAGTGTATAAAAAGGTGGGATGACATACTTCTGATGCCCGTTAGCTCTGTAATGCCCTGCATGATAGAAAACCTTAATTGTAATGCTTTTTTGGTTTGTTTCTGTGAATGATGGCAAGATTTTAAATTTTCAGTATCGAAGCTTAGGCTCCTGTTTGTTGTACTTTTGCCCTGTCTCACCAGCAAGCAGCTAATATAGCTGATCCAGGGACCTCCATATTTGGACTTTATCTGTGAATGTTGTGGATACATATCAAAAATTGTATTTTTACTTTTCATCCATTTGCTACTTAGTGAAGTTTGCAAAGATGTAGGGTTTCTCAGATTTGAGCATTTGTGCTGAGCACAGTGGTACTGTATCTACGCACCTTCCAACTTCCCTCTGTTGAAGTCCAGGGGTGGTGCCTCTCCAGTTGTTCTCATGGAGCAGAAATCTTTTGACATCTGTGTGAATGATGTGTCTTCTAATTCCAGTTGAACTCAGCTTTGGAGGTGTGCCTGAGGTGGTTTTGAGGTCAAACCCAGCTCATCAAGTCACTCTTAGCAGTGTTCTTAAGGTACTTACATCAGGCCAGGCCTCTGCAGGTATAAACTGCTTTCCAAGAGCTGCATGCAAAGTTTGAGGGTAAATGAGGCCGTTAATATCTAGTTTGACCTCTTGGATGTCAAATGACACTGGATTTCACCTTCTGTTCTTGTATTCACCTCAGTTACCTGGAGCTGAGAAACTGCCAAGATAATGTTTTGAGGTGGCAATGGGTTAAAAAAAAAGAAAACACTTCAGTGCTTTGTAGCACTTTGTAGGTTATGAACTGTCTAATGATGTCATAAGTCCTGCAGCTGAGTGACTCTGTTCTCCAATGACGTGTATTTCTGTTGACAAGCAAGCAGCATGCTGTGTTGGCCACATTAGGAGTATGTCTGGTGCTTGGGTGTGTTAACAGAAGTCATTTAGCAGGAGTTTCTGGACGCACAAAGCAGCTGTTTCCCTCTGAGGCAGCCTGAAACTTTTGTGTCAACATTTCTGATGATGAGGGGCTGGGAAGATTGATCAGATCAGCCTCTGAGCAGCAATCGCAAGTTCAGCATGGGACAAAAGTACTTAAATAAGCAGTACTATTGATGCAGTTTCATCAAGAGTTGAATAAATGAATATTTATAATTTCTTACTATGTACAGCTTCACTGCTGTAATCACTTCCTACTCTGAAATAAGACTAGGCACTGAACACTCTTCCCGTGGAGGCTCTTGCTTTCTCTCCTTTGGGCTGTTTGTGTTTGTGGTCTGCCCTTCTCTCCCTTCCCCCTGTGCTTCCCACACACTTTCAGCACTTTTCTCCTAAAATCTGGTTTGGGAAGATGCCTGTTGTCTTCATCCTTAGTTCTGGCTTTCTGAACCTTGCTTGGTTCACCTTTTATATGGTTATCAACTGACCATAATCCTGACAAATTATTAGAAACTTAGGAACCTAGAAACAAGGGACTTAGTTCTCATCTTGACTTACCAGCTTTTACTTCAAAGGAACATTTTTTCTCATTATGTTTTAGGCTGTAGGATTTTTTTTCCTTCTGCTTTCTGATGCTTTGTTTTTGGTTCAGGTGCTGGGATGACCATCTCTGCCTCTTCTTTTAGGGTATGTCAAAGGCTACTGGTTTTGACACCTCCCCTATCTTTCATACTTAACTAAAGGGTGTCCTATCGTCACTCAGACCCATCATAGTTTGACATCTAAGTGAATTCTTACCTTTAGTTACCTCATATTCTTAAATCTCTTCTCACTATTTTACACTGCCGTGTGCATTGTGACGTGTTCCTCCTGTTTAGTTACCTCATATTCTTAAATCTCTTTCTCATTATTCTACACTGCCGTGTGCATTAAGTGACATGTTTCTCCTGCAGCTACGCTGCTGCTTTCCTTGTCAGTTGGTACTTCACCAAGTTTTCAGTTGCTACTAGAAATCTCAAGGTTTCTTTCAGTCTTCCCAACATGAAATCTTGCAGGTGTGTGTTGCTTCACACCTACAAGTTTTTTTTCTTAGGTTTCATGAAAAATGCTGGTGCTTAGACTTATGTTTGTGCCTTGTTTTTTATATCACCACTGATCCGCTCTTTTTTTTTTCGCTCTTCCAAAATGGTTATGGTGGTCAGCAAGCCTGGGTCACAACCATGGTTGGTCTGCTTGTTCTGGTTCTACCTCATTATTAAACTGCTTCTCCTCTTTCTCATTGTTTTCTCCTTTACCGTGGAGTTAATTAAATTTTTGTCTTCCATTTTAGACTTAATCCTTTATTTGGTTCCTTCGTTTCCTAGTTTCCTATCTACCTCTCATTATTTTCAAATGGCTTCCTAAATATACCCCCTTTACTACTTCAGATCTTTGTCTTCCTTTTCTCAGCTTTTTCTGACACTATCATTTTAAAGCCCCTTTTCAAAATGCTATTTTATGAATTTTGCCTATTTCAAGCATAGTATTTGATTGTGACTAAACAAGTGAGCTTGTATGTATTTTGTCACTTGCATGTTTAGTCCTTCAGAGAAGTTGCTCTTCAAATAAAATTGAATGTGATATTCTGGAATGAAGTCTTCTACCTCACTTAAATATTCATGTAAACCTATGAAAAAAAAATGGAAACAAATCTTCTTTTTCAATTGTTTCTGGTTATTTCGTTCATTGACTTTTACTTTTCCAAACTTGGCATAAAATCCACGTTCTTTGTTCAAAAAGCTGTCTGCCCCTGCAATTCCTGTATTGCCACAGTGTCATAAGCAAGATGTAAGCACAGACATCTGAAGTTATTATGCTAAAAAATAAACAGCAGGGGCAGGAGATAGTCTTCAGAGGCAAAGAACTGTGTGAAAGAGAAAAAGTTTTGGGCTAAATATGAAGAACTTCTTGGCCACGGTTGACACGCGGGTTGCATTTGGTCTAGTATTTCTGGGACATTTTTCACCTGGACAGCAGTGATTCCTAAAGCTTGTTTACTGTGAGGTACCGAGTTCCTGCAGGACACAGAGTCTTCTGAACTACCTTTAAAGAAGGGCTGTGAAAACTTGAGAATTTTAAGAATCATTTCTAAAATACGAGACACCTGCAGCAACGACTGTGTGATGTATCCTTGGAGCTGACGTGTGATGTTAGGTATTTCTTAAAGTGTCATCATATGTTTTCTAATTGCCAACACAGTTTAGTGGGGAGCAAAATCCCGTGTGGTTGCTTTAAGAATGGCTATTTTCTTTGTATGGTGATGCAATCTATAAACCTTTCTAATATAGGTTGTTGAATGGGGTTTTCAAGCGACAATGGCATAAAATTCATCTGTGCCATGGGAAAGTAGGGAAGAATGGTGAATGGAGATGGACTGAGAGCTGCTCTTTTACCTTTATGTTATGGTCAGCATGATTATTTCTTGGGAAACCCTTTTGCACAGGTACTTCATTTTTATCAACCACTCCATAAATAGACCTGTGGAAGTAGAATAAATAGGGCTGTGATAGTAGAATAAGTAAGGCCAAAGGAATTAAGGAAGCTTGTAGGAAGTGTGGTTGTCCCTTCTCACAGCTGGCTAGTCCAGCTTTTGGCTCTTGCCTGAAAGTTTTTGCTGATCCAGAGACAGGTACTGAGCATCTCCTCCCCAGGTTGTTATTGAAGTAGTTGGTGGGAACTGCTTTCCATCTGTTTCTTGTCCTGCAGTTCTTGGATTCATTGTTTTAGATGAAGCTTTTCCTTCTGTATCATTTGGAAGCAGGGCCAGGTCTCTCAGCAGGAGAAGGCTTCACTGCCTGCTTTTTTCCTCCCTAAGGAATGTTACTAGCTCAGTTGTGCATCCAGATAACTGGAGGCAATTTGTTCAAATTCATGCTTTTCTCTGCAAGGGTAGTGGCAGACTTTTGGAATTAAGCATTTAGTCACAAGATCTTTATATCTTGGATCTTTTGGAGTAAACTGATTCTTTTTTTCTTTCCAACAACTCTGGATTTTCCTAGTTTGCTCTTGTAAACACTCATTTGCAGCTAGCAGTGGATGAAGGAGTCTCCAGGAGGAAAAATGGAAAAACAGAAGATGTCTAATTTTCATTGAATTTGGTAATTTTCCCAACATGGTGCACACACTGATACTCTTTCTGATGTTCTCCTGGAATAATAAATTTATTTGAAGACTTTAGAAGCCAGACTTAAGGTCCTAAATCTGTGATAGACCTAAATGAGTCAAGTGGAATCACTATTATCACCCGGAGTCTCAAAATGCAGTAGAATAGCAAACTGTGGAAATGTTAACTTTCTGAGGATATCTTTCTCCAGAGAAACTTTCTGTCTTTGATTAAATAGGTCAGAATTATAATCACCAGCTTAAACTGAAAGCTCTGTAACTGGCTAAAATCAGCATGAAAGGGATAAAGCTACACCCTTTAAAAGGCAATAGAGCAACATGCAAAGATGCAGTGATTCCTTCAGCCAGGCAAGCTCTTTTCTGAGAAGCTGCTGAATAACATGTTGGTGTCTGCTTCAAAGTGTGACTGCAAAATACTGTGCATTAATGCAAAGACTTTTTCTCTTCTGCTTGTGCTGCAAAGTGTAAAATGTCAGTTCTACAATATGCATCTTGTGCAGTGCAGAACTGTTTCACTTCATGCTTTTGCTTCTTGAAATTGGGCTCAAAATCTGAAGCT